CAATGCAGCTGCCACCATGTCCCTCCATTTTGATTGGGTAAGAGGACACTTTATGCCTCTAAATAACGGAGAACGCCTGTGTAATAAAGTTGCCTGCCAGAAGGAACGCTGCCTGAAGTAACTGATGTGCTACCATTTGAATTGAACCATGTGTATGGACTGCGATTAGGGTTCAAAATGCATCAAATCTCATTGCTTTTTTGCATCAATTTGACGATCGAAGAACGAAGTGACTCTGGAAACTCCATTTGTATGCTAATTACGGGGTATTTTGCATGATTTTACACTTGCCAAGATTTAAAATAAATGGTTAAAACAAGTTTTTCCTTTGTTATTGACGCATCCAAGATGTCAGAAATCGATTTTCTTGACAAGTAAAACATACCGAAATTTTTACAGAAGGTTGTCAACCCAGGTAGAAAAATTTAAATTCTCCCGTAAAAAGGACAGCTCTCCGGACTTTTTAAAGAAAGTTTTCTTGCATGTTATAATTCGACTATCACTAAAATACTTTAAACCATGCAACGCTAAATCCTGGGAAAGAAAAAGTCGTGTAACCATAGTGCTCAAATTGTCTGTCTAGTGTGGTTAACGTTTGCAGTGTGTTGAATTTAGCGACTCAGAATCCCTGGGTGCCGCGAACCTGGCGAAAGTAACTAGGATTAGTGGAGAACCATCCAGTCGCCTCTTTATTCGCTTTAGCCTCTCAAATTGATGGAAAAAGTAACTTACTGATGCGTAATGCTTAATGCCGAGTGGCAGTGACTTTTAAAGCAGTGAATGCGCTGAAATCTTCATAACCTTGTTTGACTCTATTATAAAAATTATTGTTGCGAAAGGTAGAGAAATAGCCTGCAAATATTAAATTTTTGGGATTTCGACTAAATGATTGACCTACTAGACCTGGCATAGACGAAGAAATGCAATGTAGACTACAAAAATTATAAGTTATGCACAAGTTGACATTTATTAAACACAACCAGTTGAAATTATCAGGCGGAAAAGTGTTTAAACTGGCCAAAATATTGCCAATGCAAGCTGCGAACACGTCCCGGTTTTGTGGCAAAAACTTTTAAATCCAATCCTGGCGATCAAATGGAGAAATTTGGAAATAACAGTGAAGCAGTCGGACAGTAATGTTCGGCACTTGTAGATGTGACTTTAATGCAACTTTAGTGATATGGGAAACGCATTCTTTTTGATGGAAGGGAGTACGGGGTGAAGGTGGTAGGTGAGTGCAGTCAAAACAACATTTTTAATAAAACCTGAACAAATGGCAACAAATGAGTGTTCATTTTGGAATATTTAAAGGTGAACAGATATGTTGAGAATCTTGAAGTGAATTTCTAATTCATTGCTGGCCTTCTTATGGTATCTGCAAATCTGCCTTTTGCAATGCAAATGAGTTTCTCGTGGTTAAATTAATTGTGTTCAAAATGGGTAAAATTCCACTGCCATTAAAATGTCACTGTTAAGGGGATAAATGTGTTCTCCAAATAGGGATTTGGTAATCCCATTTTAAATGGAACTAGTTTGGTTATAACTGCCTGCTCAGCGTGACTTAATCCGTAGCTAGAAAGTAATTACCTAAGTTGGCTTAGTGAATGGTCTATTCCTTAAAAAAACAAAATTCGCCGGAAAACCTAATGTGTTGACAAACAGAATCAACTATAGATGCAAAGTTCAATTAGGGAAGTGATTATTTGTGGCCCCAGTCGGGAATGCTTGTTTATTTTTGTCTCCCTAATAAAACATACCAGAACGACATAGCTTTAATGCAGCTCATATAGGCCGAATATGCGCCAGGCGTTTGTCGGGGTCATTCGGGTCGCTGCTTCCGCGTACGAATTCCCCAGTCTCTGTTCAGATTTCTCAAACTTTGGAACCGCTGGATTTGCAAAGCGTGCATCACAAAAATAAATGCGGTGGTTTAATGGACACTACCCTTGCATTTCAGCGCCCGCCTTGACGAACCAGAATGCTCAGAATGGCAGTTATTTGATGCGGATTCCAGAGACGGTTCGGTCACGCCGATGTGGCTAAATTAATGCATTTCTGAAAGAGGCACTTTCAAAAATTTCCTGCAGCTGGAAATATAGAAGTACATTGCATTAAGTAAACATTCCACCTACTTTAAAACAGGTAAAATTAGTTACCTCGTCTCTTTAATAAAGTTTAGATTTTCAATGGCGAATTTGACCGCTGAATATTGCATTCAATCAAATATATACTATTTTGGGTCTGATTTGCTTTCGACTCAAAGTTGCATTTTTACAGATGCATTTTAGGTACTCTGACAAAGTCCTTTGTGAAAAGAAATACAAGACGCCGCTACTAGGTTAGGACTTCACATGACTTGACGTCGATCTCCTGCATCCAGCATGCCTGGAAGTAATTTACACTGTTCATAAGTGTTACGTGTTTTGTAAGAATAAAATCGCTGGGATGCCTAACTTGATTTTTTTACCCCGTGGAACAATCAAAATCCCAGTATTTCGATGATGTTGGGATTGATAAACATTTCAGCCTTAAGTGCAAATTAAAGGACCTACTTAACTAATTATTCCAAAAAACATTTTCGCCTGGTAAAGCCGTCTCAAAAATAAACAGCTCACATTTATTTCCGTATTGAAATGTATCGCCTACTTTGTCGAAATTGCAAACAAAAATGCGTGTATGTAACAACTAGCGAGCAGGTTTCTGCTTTCCCGTGCATTCGGTTTTGGCAGTAGCATCAAGTGAAATGGTTGCTCGATGTTGAAAATGGATATGGAGAACTCACAGGCTATATTTCATGCCAAACTCTCCCATCATTAATCTTTGTGGCAGTCTCCTTTTAAGACTATCCCCTCTTCAAAGCAGGCATGTGACAAATGAAAAAAAAATAAGTATCAATGAGAATGTTCATGTTAAACTGGAACATTCAAGCTTCCTGCCGCTGAGGTAAAAAGCATGTCTCATGTCTAATAATCTACACACGCACTGTTACCCTTTACGGTAGTTCAGAGTCAAGGTTTGAATTAAACGTGCACTATAAATAGTTTTTAATAAATGCTTGATTTTGTGCAATAAAACATCTTTTCATGAATTCTTTTTTTTGCAAATAGCCTGTGACCAATGATGCGGCTGTTTACAATGCTGAACATCAAACATTGCACTATATTTAGTTTACATGTGAGATTGCTGCCTACTTCTGATTTCATTATATTTTGGTTAAAAAGCAAGATAGTGTTATTTGCAGGACTGCGTGTTATCTTGCTAGTTTAAGCATGCACCACTCCATGCTTACCTGAATAGTGAACAAAGGCACTTTCAAAACGTGGTGAAAATTGTACTGCACATAAAAATTCCCATAGACATTTTCGGGAGCAGTTATTAAAATTTGGCATTAAAGTAAGTTATTTTAAGGCTTAAAGACATCCTAGCTTGAGCTTGTATTCTAAAAGTGTTCCTACATAAACGGTGGACTTATTTTATACAAAGAGGTAATCTTATATCCTACACGAGAGTACTACAGACGTTAGTGCGATCAATCTGGGAATAAATTCATGGGGAGATAAATGTTCAGGAGACTTGTAACCAGTATTCTTACTCCATGATGCTGTTGCTCGTATATTTTCTTCCGAGGCTTCCTGATGCATTTATTTTCAACCCAGGATTAGTAAATCGTCAACAAGTAATGTGATAACAAATCTCTAGAATAAGGCAAATGAAATCTTTGAAGGCTGATGATCCCACAATAGTAACTAAACGAATTAAATGTCGTTTCGGTAAGTAACGCCTCTTCTTCTTTCGAGAGTTGTCCTCGGCGCTGCAGAGGGTCAGTCTCCCGTGTCGGTGCTTGGTATAAAAGTTATGCAATGCCTTTCCAGCACAACAAAATACATTTACTCTCAATGGCAATGATGCCTCTTGTGGACTTTGGTAGATTTAGTTACATTTGCCTCGTAAACTGTACCGTGGGGAATTGCTGGTTCGGGGCCACCCAAGACTTGTCAGTGATCGACATCGAGAGCATTTCATGTCCAAATCTTAATGCCTAAGAACGTTCTGACAAACTATTTTCAAATCTCATTTTTCAGGACCACTTCCTTCATAACGCCAATTCTCCAGCTTGATCCTGTGCGGGGTGCCCATTTGTCTGTGAGAAAGATATCCTCATGTAGGTTTTGTTGACAAATCCATGTTAAACAATTCAAATTATTCCATTTTGGCGGCACCTAAGTCATTCTTATTCTTCAGACGACAAAAATAAAGTGATCATCGAAAGTCAACATAGCTCTAATCGTCCCTTTATTGTTCGCCTCTGCAAATTCAACCATCTGCAACAGATCCCATTCTGACACGATATGATGTTTGGCTTTCGGAGTGAGTCGTCAACCATGAAGCCTTCCTAAAGGCGTTAATGGATCCATGGGTCCAGAACCGACCGAAGTGACTAACAGAAAATTGGAAAGTCTTTAAGGGTCTGTGCAGAATTCAAGTGAATTGTGGTATGAAAATATTGCTTTAGTAATCAAATGATCAAAATTAAAAGACAAAATACTTACAACCAATGAGAGGCATTCATTGGGTTGTAATAATTTATGCGTGGAAGAATCAGATGCAGTGAAAATTCTATAAGTAGGGTATTACAGCGAAGGGTTAGCTTTTATGGCAGGGTGCCTCCCAAACCTGCAACCAACTTTAATAGCAGCTGCTTAAGCATAAATGTGCATATTTTTTGGTTTTCGGAAATGTTTTTGGGGTTTTTATTGAAAGTATGCCCCCTAGCGACTTTGATAAAATCTTTCACCAACAGCTGCAGAAGCGAACAGCTCGAGCTTACGGAAGCAGTGTAATCTGCCCCAAAGATTTCATTGTCTATATGAAGGCCTAAATTTTTCTTTAAAAGTCTCAAATGCAGTTTAAAATAGCAATTTGAAATAAAGTTATTAAATCAAGTTCCCGTTTTACTGCACTGGCCGCTTTCAAATTTTATTGCACAATAAACCCTTTGGAATAGCGGGAGCACCTCAACAACCAAGCAATTGAAATACTATTTGCACCTACCGCAATTTACTTTAGTTAGTATATCGAAGCAAAAATTATGACCAGTCTAGAATTTCATTTTGTAGTGGCGAATTTCATTTCAAAAATGCAGTTCTGTATAAATGAAAATTTTACGTTAGACATTGTTGAATCGAAACTTGTTTGAATTTTGTGTTTATCTGGGCTGGGCTTGCAAAATCCCAAAATTTTGGCTCCCACCTTATTTCCCGTGGTCGTACCACTTCAGCGAATGGTCCAAATCCCCTGTTACACATTCATGCTAAAGCCTTGTTCAAACTCGTACGCCTTGCAACGCATGAAGAGAGGACCATGATGCCAAATTTGTGGCAATAAATACAAATGCGCTCCGAAAGAAAAGTGCCGATGTCTTTAGTAAGATCTTGCCTGAACGTCACATAAGCTAGGTATCACCCTGCGGGGCTTCAGCCAATGAAAATTTAGGCAAAATCAGATTATAGTGCTTTTAAAACGGCCGTTACGGAGCTGACTTTGACACTTCTCTGATAGTGCACAAAAATGTGTAGAAATTTACCTTTATTGAGGCATACGAAGTTGGAGGTCGTTTTACATGGACGACAAGGCGCTATGGGAATGAAAAAAATTTGGCAAAAAATGTAGTTTATGTATATCAACTGAGGTTCACAAGGTGGATGTTAGCCAAAATTAGGTAGTTACCAAAAGTCGCAACTGATGTTAGGTTCAAATATCTCCCCACTTTGGTCCTTCCTCTCAAAAGCTTTTTAAGCATTGACTACGCTTTACTGGGTGACACTGAAGAGCAATCATGTGAACATCGAGGTCCCTTGTAAAATAACCGTATTTATTTATGCTGCACACATAACTGCACAGGCCCTAAAAACTTGCATAGCCCTCGGTCAGCACTTTGTGATTATGGCGTTGCCTTCATTTTGTTTTTGTTGACCACTCAGAAGGCCTTCTCTGGGTGATTAAAAAAGTTGCATCCAGACGCCCAGCCATATCACGTCTTCGAAAAAGGCTTGGGCGCTCTGTCATGATACATAAAAGTACTGGAGATGTGAACGATTTGAGTCAGTGGAACTTCCTGTCAAAGTGATGTTTTATAATGGATTTTCGAAGTAAATTTGTCAATACCATTAATACGAATTTAACCTCTGCTGGATCGTTACTTTTATTGTATCAAAGCTTCCCTTATTTTAGACTGAGTCGAATTTTCATTTAGTTGTAGAAAGTTCAAAACATAAAGTAGAATCAGAATTAGGAAAATGTTCTGCAATAGGCTTGGCGTTTTTCTCTTTCACCTCTGTCTTCACACCCTTGGAACAAGCAGGCGAGCTGGATGAGGGTATGCTTTATGGGGTACAGAGGTGTCACCGTTAAGCGGGTTTAAGGAACGCCTCCTCCTTCAGGGCTGACGGCGTCTGATCCGTCACAAAGTTCATATTTACTGACCACCTATCGCCCAAAAGGTACATTGAAAAAAACATGCATTACAGTTTAAATAACATTTATGTAGCGCTTGAAGACCTCCCTGAAGACGAAAGAAGATATGACACTTGGGTAGAATATGTACTGTCGAGGTACAGGAGAGCTGGGGGCCAGGCTGCTCTGAGAGGGTACAATGGCGGGGCTTCTAAGCGTTCACGTGGCCAAACCGAAGAGTTAAAGGGGTAATTATTGCCTCATTATTAGTGATCGTACAACAAAATATTTAGGGTAGTCCAAGTATATGAAGCAAAATCATTCTTAAACTGACAACCAAAAACCCATTTTGCTTTGGACAGAACGAGGAAATGTTTGTTGCTTAATTGCAATTGAGCCAGAGGTGTGTAATTCCTGGCATAACTTGCCTTTTTATAGAAAATGAAAAATAGGGAAATTAAGCGCTCCCTCGAAAAATGACTGTAAATGTGTAGATCATGTGGTATTTGATAGGCGAAGCAAAACTACAGCAAAGTGAAGGTTGTAAATGTGGTACAATGATTTGCACAACAGCTATGATTTTATATCAAATGGATAAAAAGTGGTAATATTTTCATCCACCGTTGCTTCTCCACCACATGATAAACACCCTTGTTATTTGCGTGGTTGTCAGTTTTGATCGAAGCAACTGGACGTTAACACAACAGACGATCAGATGTCGTAAGAACTTGGACATAACTCCAACCTCTTCATTTTATCCATAAAGTGTTACAAAACAAATCTTTTGCATCAAAAAAAAATTATACATTCATTAAATAGCAATGATAACATTTTCAATAAGGAAAGTGGTGTCCACTCATGTAAGAATTACTTTCTTCCCATAAAAGTGAATTTGCACATCTGCACAAGTTTAAAAGAGGACGTCTTTATTTTGGATTTATTTTTTTAAGTTTTAAATCGTTTAGAACTCAAATGTTTGCGTGTCAAGATAAATTAGGTATCTCACTTGGTCGGTTGCGCAATAATATCGAAGGCTTTCAAATTTGACCATGATCAGTCTAAAAGCTCAAGTTTTAGTGTTTTCGTCATTTTGTGTGAAATATCTAAGTCCACTGACCCTAGTGGGAAACAAAATTGCGCATTTTTTGTTATTAAATCATTCACCCTTTAGACAGCCATGGTGAGTATTTTTAGGGGGGGGGGGGTTCGTCTGATTTTTAAACGAATTTTCGTAATTAAATGTGGTGTATCGCATCCCACTGGCATGAGCTTTACAAACTAAGACCCCATATTCACCATGGCATACCATTAATGAAAAAACTTTGCAAGAAATGTACAATATAGCAGTCATCTCACTTTTGTTTTACAGCCTTGTAATGGTAGACCCGGACTGTCAATGTACAGGAATGTTGAGATAGCATTAACGAAAGGGACAAGAATGTAAGATAGCAGCACTAGCGTGGTGATCAGGGTCCGTTGAGACCTATGATCTTAAAGACGAATAACTTTTGCATTGATTGTAGTAGGAAGTTGCGAGTGTATCTTATTGCATACTAATAGTGGACACATATTACTTTGGATAGTTCACTCAACGCTACTGTATGTAGCAGACAATGGTGATTGTGAATGAGCTCACGCAATAGTGTGTGGGGAGAAATAAAGCTTCTTGTGGTCAGCAATGTAAGAATTGCATATATCGATTCCCAAAGAATACTTCAAGCTAAATGTTATACAGCTACAAGATACGCATTCCCTTGGTTGTCAGGTGCTTTAATGTTTGCTGTAAAAATGATCATGCGTTGGTGAGTAACAATTTTAGTCGCGGAGAGTCCCAGCCTACAGGATAGGGGACCATTCCTAAGTATATACAGAGCGTGGGACTCCTGACGCATCATATGTCTTGCAACTAAATTCCACAATAGAAGAAGCTCTGTGGCAACGGTGAACAAATTCGCGAATATTTACAGTTTCGAAAGCCTGGCTTACGCTTGACAAGTCCAGAAGGGTTGAGTACTGCAATGTGTTGGAACTCCATGATGGTCAAACCATTCTGACGAAGCTATCGATGCCGAAGATACCTCTCAGGCAATAGTTAGGTGCGGTACAAAATGCATGAATTCAGTGCCAATAGTCTATTACAAAATAAGTGCGGTTTTCACGCCAAGAAGTATGGTTTCAGTATGTTTAGCCTCAAAAGCCTCAATTCGATCCGAATGTGCCTCTCAAATATAGCTTTTTAAAAGCCAAATCTATTTCACCGATCGATTCCCCATATAACCACATGAAAATTTTGGTAATTATATATTGGTCGCTGCTCATTTTACCAAAAAATTGTCACTTTATGGCCTTATTCTGCAAGCACTTAAAGTAGACCTGACTGTCCGGACACCTCGACAAGCTAATACATTATGCAACTTTCTCATTTTTACTACCCCTACCTCCCTCCACCTCACATACATTCGGTTCTTCAACTTTAATTTGCTTACTGCTCTCGGTTTTGAAACGACTGCCACGAAATGTCACTTACAAAATAAATCCGATTTTATCCGCCGCAATGAGAACAAATTGTGATTACTATCAAGGCAGTGGAAAAGTAGAAGCAATTTTCGTTTTAATAGTTGTTTACTTATAATGGGGACTTATTTATTCAATGCGCAGTAAGAACAGGCATTTACCAACACGTACTTTAAATTTCCCAGGCCTTGACCGTCATCGTGGGTGATTTAACACCACCTCATGCAGTTCCTTTTAACAGCCGACCAAATCTTCGGCCACTCCTATTAAAATCTTATCTAAACTTGTTTCAATACGCCTTTGGAAGGCCTTGAATTGCTAATAGTAGAGTTTTCTCATGGTTTGCTCTTTATTTTAGACTACTTTCACAATTATACATTCAAAGACAGGTTTATTAAATTATTTGCATGAACCTACAATATCCGGCTGTCCCGAGTTCTTCAAACAGATTAGACTCGACTCCAAACTGAATCAACGATTATTTTACACCTGCAGTAGTGATTCACTAACTCATTGATGGTGGATATGATATCTCTGGATTATGGCAAGTTCTACTAAAATGATGATACTTACTGCAGTCTATTTGCACAAATTTGTTCGTATGTGTAATTCTAAACCGTGTTCACATAAAATGGGAACCAAGTTTGTTCTCCCTTCGCCATTATTTCGCACTTGGTCATAATAACATTTCCGAAAGACCAACTTGCTTGTCATAACACTAAAAGTCCTATAAAGCACCTTATAGTTCCTTTATGGGACAGTGCATACCAAATGTAAAGTTAGTTGTGGCCTCGACGAAGCTCTAAATTTCAAACCGGAAAGCCGATAAGCCAATATGTGGCTGGAAACCTATTTTAATTCAAACCCGATCCGTTTGTTCAAGGTAAGCCGTTTTTTATAAGTATGTGGTTGAGCTGTAATTCTTAAACGGAAAATCGAGGGTCTTTTTTCAACTAAGGCAATTTGCGCAAAATATAGACCGGTACTTTGAAAGTGGTATTTACCTTCATAGCCTATAAATTTAGAAAACGGTCATCGTGAACGATTTTATAGTGTAAAATGTTAAATTAAATTAAAGCTTTTGCGCTAATTGACATGGTTATAGGAAGCAGAAATCATAGCTGGCGATGCTGTAACAGAACGGTATATTCTAGGTCGCATGGTTAGCTGTGCAGTTTTGGATGGCCACATCATCGTTGTGGTATTTTTCACCCTGTCACTCCAGTTCACATTTCACCAGGTCTTCTGTGCTCTCGCGACAAAGCTGCATCGAGATTCATGCGCCCCTTAATGTCCTCAGGGAGGACTCGAGCGTCAGAGAAAAATGAAGTGAATCACACTTCCATTACGAACTAGGCGAGTTTGGTACAAGTTAAAAAGTATGATTAGCAAGGGTTTACTACGATCTACTGTAAAATCCAAAATAAATTTTAACGATTGGAACAACAATTACACCTTCAGCTTTACCTGTAAGTAGTAGGCGCTTAGCTATTTCTTTCTGTAATTTGAAAAACGTTTGGCGGCTTTTAAAGGTCCAGCAGTTTGTCTGATGAAGTCAGCTCAACTTAGACACAGTCAGAAATAATGTTTATTTTGATTGAAGAATACGAGTAAACAGGCACTCGATTGTGGATGCATATCAAGAAAAGAACACCACCTTAAATTTTACACCGTGGGGAACCGAATCTATCTGACCTTTACTAAGGCAATCTTAACGCGCTTTGCCCTACAACGGCTTGACCTACTTGCAAATTCCCACCTGCCGTATTTCCATTTCATGAAGTCAACTAATTTTTAACCTATATTATTTTTTAAAAATTACCTGTGTCTCCCGTTCCTCCTATGAAGACCAAATTTACGCATATCTCAACTAAGATATAAATAACTTTGAAAGTTGAACTGTGCTAATTAAATCCCCCTTAATGCGAAATTCAGATCAAACAACTGTCATCAATTCCTCCACAGTACATCTCTAGACTCAGTAAAGCTTTATTTCGCATAAAAGTTAATGAGTCGATTAGCGCTAGAATGGACGACTATTCAACCCTCTTCTTTTCATTTAATAGGAGAAGTAGTTTGCACCTATATGTTTGCACAAACAGGATCAACAAAATGTATATGAAAAAGGAATCTTTGGGTTCACCTCGCTTATGTACACGATGAAGACTGGGTCAGAGGTTTGCTGATCAGGGGGGTAGGGGACTCGAGCTCAGTGTGTATTCGTATCTCTTCCAGCCAGACATCTAGCTCCGTTATAAGGCGGTAGGTCGCAATATAGGGCGCCTCCAGTATTCGCTCTTTGTGAGCGAAATGGACTGGGCTAGATGTAGCGTTTTCGCTTATGCTCCAATCCTCCTCCTCTTCATCACTGGGAAAGAACTTGCGTGGTACCTGGCCACCCGTGTAGATATAGAGGCCGGTGCAATCGGAATTAAGGGTCTTTTCGCCCGAATCACTGCTGCTACCGCTGGTATTGGTGAAACTGGAGTCTGATGAAGTACGGCTTCCTGAGGAAATACTTGCAAATGAGGCTGACTGTTTGAAAGAAAAAGATTCCGCGACTGGGTCTGTCATTGGAATGCAGTGTTGCGTCACCATCATTCCCATATGAGCAATTTCAGGAGTGCTTTAACCAGGGAAGTCAGAGTAGGAGCGATCATAGGGTTGTGGCTCTCATCATTTTTAAAAACACGGACGCAGTTCGCTTGGTGGCTTGATATACTGCACTTGGTACCCAACGTCACTAAAAGCGCAAAAGAGATTCCTGCTTTATGCCTGATTTAAGTTTAATCTAATGTTCTCACATTCCATTTAGCAGTAACGCAAACCAATAGCTTAATTTTGACGAGTGCAGAATGCTCTGTTCTAAAAATAATTGTGCTTTGGCAAATGAAAACGAATCGCATCGGTTAGAACTTTTGGTCATGAGCCAGTACACCATCTTGGAGAGAATTCCATCTGCGAAAGAGTTAATGCAAAAGCACTGGCTGAAACACATACTTTTCTTTAAGAAACATCGCCATGCCTACCAATAGCATCCGCGTTCCGTTTGAGGCTTCGAATCTAGTAACATAATGCACACTAGCTTAAGTAGTCAAATCCCGAAGTTGAAGAATTCTGTCTAGAAAACATATATGGAAAAATTTTTCGTCAGGGTGATGAATTTCGCTTACGGAATAGCATAACGCAAGGAGGACCCTTTGCCTCAGGCACAAGAGACAATTTCATGAATAACACAGGGTTTTTAACTGATCAGCCTTAAGTATAATTGTTTTACTTGGATAAACTAAGAAATGTATTTATATTTAAACCTTCGTTTGTTTTTTATTTCTGTACCAAAATCTTAGTATGCAAGACAAGCGTTAGCAGCTAAGCAATAAATGCAGCACATTTCCTACAACTAAGCCCTTAGCAAATACTACAACACCTCTGAAAAATGCATTTGGAAAAATCAAGATTTGTTAGTGTCAGATAGTCATTCAAAATAACCAGTGTCTGGGTAAAAATGAGAAAAAACTCGGTTGCTTTTATCAGGGAATACGGTCAGAACGAGAACACTGGTACTTGTCAATTTTGTCGCAATTATGCCTCTAAAATTCCAAAAGAATGCCTCCAGCTTTGCAAATTCATCAAAATCAGCAATGATTATCAAAAAAAACAATCAAGTCGTCCTTTACAAAAAGATTGCCTACTGGAATTAAATGCATTGCCATGAGTTTTAACTACCTTGACTACGTGATGATTAAACGTGGTGCATGTCCAAATGGTGGCATGATTTTCATCAGGAAAAAATGGCAAACACTTTTGCCGTATGCGAATTTTTCGGAGGCTTTTGCGTAAATCCATGTAGGTAGGCATTTTGTGCCCAAATGCAATTAGATAAAATCTGACTGTTCTAAGTATAAAATTTGAATTTCGTTGCGCTTTTCAAAAGGCTTAAATGCGAATAAAACCCGCTATTTGTAGCAGGTGAGAAACTGGGTCTTAAAATGAAGGAATCAATTTTTTAGCACAAATACAGTAGCTTTGAATGCAATTTTGCGCTTAAAATAAATCCTGTCAGATAAGATAATGAAGTGAATAAAAGTAAATTGCAGAGGTTGCGAAAACTGCTCAATTACAGTAAATAATTAATAAAGATGTGATCTATTTCGTGGCACTTTGTTTTCGCACGAGTAAATGAAATCTTATCTCATCCAATAATATACTTTTTTTCTCAGAAAACGGTAAACTTACAATATTTCAAATCTGCATTACAAGGCATCAGTTATCCTTGGCTTACAGAAAGTTTGTGAATAAATACAATTTTTGCTTTCAAAGAAAAATTCCTTTAATAGCCGGCATGCTGATAACAAATATGATCATCGTTTCTTGAGAGGTACCTTAAGCACGGTTTAACTCATTAAGAAACTAATTAATAAAAAAACTAGATTGTTTCATAACAATTACATGAGACAAGCACCTAAAAATGGCTTTTTTAGTTTATTAGAACCCATGATGGTTTAAGGGTCTTACAGAGGATAGTCAATCGTAAAGTATTAAGGGGAAGCTACAAAACATAGCATAGTATTGAAAGTCTTTAAAATGCATGCTTAATAAATTGGCCAGAAACGACGTTTTTTGAGGGAGAAAGATGTAATGGTGCCAAAACCGAACGTAATCTTCGACATTAGAACCACTATCAGGGTTAGCCAAAATATCATAATTACCAAAACTGTGATTATTATTGAAATTCATGAAAGATAGATTACAAAAGGGAACTAAAATCCTAAAAATAAATGGCCTCGAGATAGTTGCAAGTTAGCCACAGG